AACACTTTCATAAACCTTAAATATTTTCACACCACAAATATAAAAGAAATGACACATAATTTATACTCACATAATTATGGATATTTCAAGAGATATTTTGGCTCGGGAATTAAAATTGCAACGTGTCGAAATTTTTTTTTTAATCCCATAACTCATCACATAAGCATAAAGCATATTACTATCTCCCAATATTCATCACACTTAATACTTTATATATATATATATATATATATATATATATATATATATATATATATATATATATATATATATATATATATATATATATATATATATCGATATGTATAGCTAGGTTAAGGAATTTCGTAGGGGTTACGAGCTATATACACCATTTCATATTCCTAGTGAACCTTGAGTAGATATATCAATGGACTTTGTTTTAGGTGTACCTAGGTCTAAAAGTGGCAACGATTCTATTTTTGTTGTTGTTGACGGGTTTAGCAAAATGACGCTTTTCATACCATGTCAAAAGACCAATGATCCCACACAAATAGTAGGATTGTTTTTCAAGGAGATCGTGAGGTTGCATGGCATTCTAAGAACAATTGATGTGATAGAGATGTCAAATTCTTAAGTCATTTCTAGAAGACTTTTTGGGAGAAGATAGGAATCGAGCTCTTATTCTCAACCACTTATCATCCAAGTAAATCAATGGGCAAGCCGAAGTGGTGAATAGGTCTTTGTCCACACTTTTAAGGGCAATAATCCAAAAAAACTTGAAGAATTAGAAGGAATATCTACCTCTCGTGGAGTTTGCATACAATAGAATAGTGTATACTACAACTTAACATTCACCTTTTGAGGTGGTATATGGTTCAATCCACTCACACCCATGGATTTATTGCCTTTACCAATTGATGAGAGGGCTAGCCTTGATGGGAAAAAGAAGGTTGAAGCTATAAAAGCTTTACACAAAAAGGTGAAGTTGCAAATTGAAAAAAAAAACACAACAATATGCTACTACACACTAACAACGGGAGAAAGAAGGTGTTATTTGAACCGGGTGATTGGGTTTGGTTGAACCTATGGAAAGAAAGATTTCCTAGCCAAAGGAAGTCAAAACTTATGCCTCGAGGAGGTAAACCATTCCAAGTGCTTGAACGCATCAATGACAAAGCTTATAAACTTGATTTACCAAGTGAGTATGGTAATGTATCTGCTACTTTTAATGTGTTTGATTTATCCTTTTTTGATTTAGGTGATGATTCGAGGATGAATCCACATTAAAGAAAGGGAAATGATGGGCATGAAGGTGGTTCAGCAAGCCAAAATGACCCATTGACCAATTTTGGAGGACCCATGACTCGAGCTAGGGCTAAGAAAGTCAAAGAATCTTTGTTAAGCTTCGTACAAATCATTGGCTCAAAGGTGGTTCAAGGAAAAGTGTTTATGGTTCATAATGGTCCAGCCATGATCAACATGGTTCAAGCCATTACCAACTAAGTTGAACCAACATGAAAATAAAAGGCTTAAACGAATTCAGCCTTGTTTTGAACTTGTAATCCGATTAAGGAGGGGAGGCTACACTTAATTTTAGCATTCAATGTTTCGTATAATGGTGGAGGTTATGTTCATTATGGTGAAATTATTACCTAATTGCATTATCATGGCAAAAGACGGATACATAAAGGAGGTTACAAGAAGAGGAATATGGTTGTCGTAATGATAAAGAGGTTACATAAGAGAGGTTACAAAAGAGGCATTATTAGTATTATTTATGAATTGTATTTTTCTTTATTCTAAAATTACCCTTGGCCTTTCACTATATAAAGGCAAGGCTTTATCATTTGTGGAGAATATTCAGAATACAATTTCTATATCTTTCTCAAGTGAAAATTATTTCTTTAAGCTTTTGTTTGGTACTTTAGAGCTTATCAAACTTTTATTTGTGGAGTTCAAAATCCCAAACACTTAATACCTATAGTCTTTATCTCATTATAGATAGAAGGTTATAGTTCTTATTCTTAAGGTCTTTAGCTCAATATAGTTAAAAGGTTTTAAGATTATTTTCTTTGTTTTCTTGAATCTTGATTGATAGATCCTAAACATAAAGAAATTTTTTTGGGGGGTTTTGAGTTGTTTAATCTTCATCTCTTTTGGATCAATATATCTATTGGGTTTGGAGTTGCAAATTCAAAGATTCTAATTCCAATTTCATATCACGGACCAACGGACTTTATAGTCTCGGATTGTTCGATTGGCAAAGCAAGTCCCTAGTTGTTTTTACAAAATATCAAGCTTTAATCATGACCTCAAACATAGAGATTCTTGATCATTTAGCTCTAATATCACTTGTTGAGTTTGGCACAACTACGATACCATTTTTTAGAATTTTTAGAGCACAAAAGATTTAAGGATAGAAAATACTACAAAAAAACTCATTTTTTAATTACAAATACTCATACTTCACTTATAACTCTTTGAATGTAAAATGATTATTTCTAACGTACGGGATTTACTAAACATAACAAGTGCAGAACATCCTTTAAATCATTGTAGTATTTTATCTCTATCACACTTATACACAATACTTCCACTAGACATTTTAGGTCACACCACTTAAATAAGAGAAATTCTCTCTTGTTTCCTAACTAGCTCTCTCTATAGCTAATTATTTATTTCTCGGCTTTTTGGTTGAACCAAATGCATAAGAAGGCTATTCATACTAGTTGGAAATAAATCCCGACTATACATTTAATCTATATAATTAATGAAGTTAGGTGAGAGTTGAGAGAATTTTAGGGATAAAATGTTTTATAGGAATAGAAAAGAGATATCTAGAAATGAGATATTTTATAGTTGGGAAGAAAAGAAATGTAGAATCAATATGTTCTAGAATATTAGTTTGGGTTTAGGTTATTTTTGGGCTTAAGATAATTTAAGCTTTAATGAAGTTTGGGTTTCAGTTTGGACTTGGGATAATTTGGGCCAAATTAGTGATGATCTTTAATACCCTAAAGTTTGCAAAACAAATCTTTTCAAATTGATCACGAATTTTATTGGTTACAATGTTAGCTATCGTTGCCTATACCACCTCTTTAATACCCTAAAATTATGCTCTTTCTTCTCATGTAGAAGGCCTTTTGGTTCAGCTTAAATTTTATACATGCTAAATCATTACCACCTCCAAATCTAAATCCATGCAATATATGGGTTTATAACTATTTTTTGATGATTTTGTTAAGGTTCTTAGGTACTGCATTTGGGAACAATTTATGTGATGGTAAATAATTGAAATAATAAAACTTTCTTAAGTAGTGTTGATACCTGATTGGAAAAAGTGAATAATTTCCTTAACTTCATTTAGAAAAATGACCAAAAATTGTACCATCAAAATTTTAATTTTTGTTGATATGATTCAAGGAAAGGTAAGGATTGATAGCTGACTGAACTAACAAATTTAGAATGCATGGTTTTATGATGACGGCGACGATTGTCTTGTATTTGTGGAGCGTTGTTGGAATTTCTCTTGCGTCTTGTATTTAAAGGGCAAGTTCTTTTTGGTTGGGTAAGATATACTTTCATGTTCAAGCTAGTTTGTGGTTGAAGGGATCCACTATATTTATTTAATTTCACCATCTTTTAGGAATTCGAAATTGCCCATTGACTACGACATCAAGTGCTTGCATGTCCGAAAGTGTGACTTTTGTGAACTTTATTGTATAAGGGCTATGATAATCGGAAGAGATTGCTATAAAAAGAATCATAATTCATCTTCATTGCTTATGAAATTTAAAAGCCTTCTGGAATTTGTTTGGCATGCGAATTTTTAGATGTATTTCTAAAATATTATTTTTGAAAATGTGATTATTGAAAATAAAAATTCCTAATAATATATTTTAATATTATTATTGTTCTATCCCTAAAGCTTCAAGTATCTAATTTCGCCATATGATGTTTTTTTGTATAAATAATTATCCCCACAAGCACATGCATGTTATATTAATTACAACTACCAAGTAAAATAATATATACTAACAAATTACAAAACATGTATTTTCTTAAATAAATAAATAAAGATTTTGATACAAAACTAAACTAAACTACATTTGTTATTATTTGAAGGAAAAAAGAAGAAGAAGAAGGATACATTAGTCTATTCATTAACAGTGAAGTCATTTTAATAAAAAAAATTAAAAATCTTTCATTTCTCATCTAAGAAAATGTGATTCCTCCTATTTTAGAAGGACATCACATATTTTAATTCGTGGAAAATATTAAATTCTCAAGAATATGATATTCTTTAGCAAAATAAACATTATTTTCTTTAACATCTAAAATATGAGTTTATTTTCCATTTGATTCTTGTATTTTTTAATTAAGATATTTTATTTTTTTAATTTGAAAATTTTCTATTTTTCTATTTTTTTCTTTTATTTTAAATCCTTTATTATGATGCCGTTAAGAACAATATTGTAAGACCCAAATAACAATTTTTCTATCTGAATGAAAAAGAAATGATTTAAAAAATAACAAAATAATTCATAAAATTAAAAGAAGGAGAGTAAAAGACCAATTCACCCCATCCTGTTTTTTCTTCAAAAAGAAAAAGAAAAAGGAAAAGAAAAATTCCCAACCTAATTTCAACATCCAAATTTTCATCCTCTCATGTCCCAAATTCAAGCCCAAATTGGCCGGATATGGGACCTTTTGACTATGCATAAATTACGTTGATAAAGAAAACAAGGAAAAAGAAAGTGTGCATTTAACTAATTTTTATTGGGACTTAAACAAAGTTCGTTACAACTCAAGAAATAAAGTAGCAAAAAAATATGAGAAATCAAAGCAGTAATTCCTTCATTAATGTATGGTAAATAATGGGTAACAAAAACTAATCAAATACAAAAATGATCATCACCTCTCACTCTCAAAACAAATACAACTAATTAACCTTCAGCACTTGAAGAGTGAAGCAAATAAACAAATCAATCAATGTTTCAAGAAGCCACAAAGAGAAACAACAAGAAGAGAGCCCAACAATGGCACCGAAAACTGACAAAGAGAACCCAGCTCCAACATTCGTTCCTGGTGCTGGTGCAGGAGCCACTTCGTTATGCTGGGCAGAAAGCAACAGCAAATATATCAATCGCGAGCACCAATGCCTTGGAGATTCTAACATGAGCCATTGCCAAAAGTAAAGAGTACATAATTGCTATGCTTCTTTGTAACTTTGGTTTGGTTTTAGACAAAAGCAAGTGTGTGGTGAGATTGCATTTTCGAGCTTGATAATTTCTCATTTCGAGAAAACATGAGAGGATGAAAATTTGGAGGTTGAAATTAGGGTTTGTGTTTGAGAGATTCTGGGGATTTTTTGAGGGAGAAAGAGAAAGAGAGATAGCAAGGAGAGAGAGAAGGGTTTTTTCTGGAGAAAAAAATAGAATTGAGAAATAATAGGGTGGGGTGAATTGGTATTTTACTCTCCTTTTTAAATTTTATGAATTATTTTACTTTTAATTTTTTTAAATCATTTTTTTCATTTGAAAAACTTGTTATTTAGAAATTACAATATCACGTATTAATTTAGTAATAAATCACAACAGAATGTCTAAAATAGAAAATTTGAAAAATAAAAAGTTTCAAATTAATTAAAAAATCTAAATTAAAAAAAATGCAGAAACTAAATATAAGAATACAAAAACCAAATATAAGATAAACCCTTTGAAATATCTTACTTGAGAGAGTTGAAGATTTTCCCGAACCAAATGCACCCTCAATTGAATCAAATTAAGATGTTACAAAGATTATTTCTTTTAAGAACTTCCTCATGCTACTAAGACAAAGACCTCAAGAAAAAAAAAAAAAAAAAAAAATCAAAGAAGTCATGACTTATGACATCTGCTTTGGCAATCAGGACTGGTTATTAGTTGCAGGAAATTAATGACCTGTCAATCAATTGCACCATATTACTTATAGTAAGACCTAAAATCATCACCTTTTTATATGGTGTACAATTTTTTGTGATAATAATCTAATATTGAGGATTCGTAATATCAAATTAATTTTTGTTGAGTTTTGTCTGATATTCTATCACATGACATTTTTCTCCATTATCCATGTGGTTGATGGCATCCACTCCTTTTAATTTCACCATCTTCCAGAAATTCAGAATTGCTCGAAGACTTCCTCGTCTTCAATGCAAGTGTTAATGATGCGTTCAGCCCCTCTACTCTTGTTTTTTTTTTTTTAATATCTTTATTTGGTTCACTTATTCCTAAAATCTTATTAATTTGTCCCAATGCCGTCCTCTTTCTCTCTATTTTTTAATTATTCAGACCCTCGTGTCGATGACAGCTTTAAATCATATCTTAATTTAGCACAACTGAAATTGCCACATGGCTTCAATATTTACAAGACGCATGGCATTTATGGTGTTGAATTCAACCATTAAGTATTAAATATTCTTCAATTGAGTCCTTCTGTGTACATCCGTTAATGCTTTTGTCTAACTACAAGTAGTATGCAATAAAATGATGTCATTTTAAGGATAGATATATGATATTCTCCACAAAAAATTGAAAGAGTTTGGAAGGAAATCCAATTGAGGAACGAATGATTCTTTGAAGATTTGATTAAGAAAATTGTTAATCTCAAAATTTAGAGTTATTAGTTTAATCTATCCTTATATAATATTTTGATTTTTTTTTTTTTATCTCTAAGTTTCTAATTGTATGTTATTTGCTCTTAAAAAATTGTTTAAGCGATCAATCTATCTTTCATATCATTTTTTCCTATCATGTGTAATTTTTTTTGACGAAAATAACCATACTTGAAATGCCAAAAATAAATAAATAAAATACTTAAAAAAACAAGGCACGTAGATCATAAATAAAATACTTAAAAAATAAAACATGTAAATCATGTGATTTTAAGTTTCTTTTTAGCATTTTAATAAAAGGCATTTTAGTCAAAATTTTTATCTATGCTCGAAAAAATTGATTAAAATGACATATTGAATATTTAAATAATTTTTAAGGACACATGTCATGTAATTAGAAATTTAAAAGTATATAAGAGATTCAAGATATTATATAAATATATATTGAACTATTTACTTCGAAATTTATAAGAAAGAATTTGAGGTTTGCTAAAAGAAAAATTAAACTTTCAAACAGAACCGAAACCAAAAATACCATATATTTCATTAACAATATTATGAGTAAATTATAAATTAGTCCCTCTAGTTTCAATAAACAAATTAATTAGTCTCTTTCGTGTTAAAAATTATTATTTAATCACTTTAATAAGTATTGAACATGTTTAATTTAATATTATTTTTATTCTATAAAATCTCTTATTTTCTTATCAATCTTTCTATATATTTTTTATTTCTTAAAACAAAAAAATCAAAAAATAAATAAAATAAATAAATAAATTGCAAAAATGACTAAATTACAAATAGATTTCAAAACATGAGAATTAAATTATTAGTTTTTTAAATGAGAAAAATTAATTAATTCGTTTCTCGGGGACTAATTTATAATTTACTCACAATATTATAGATAGAAAAACACAAAAAACTATCTAAATAGTAAAGTTTTACATATTGATATATAGACTTTACATATTCCAGTTCACCAACATCGAATAGATAATAAACTACATTTTTTTATTTCAAGTGTTAATGTGAACATTATATGTAGAAAAAAGAAGAAGCTGAATTCATAAAATGAGAAGGTTCAAAAAAAAAAAAAAAAAAAAAGGGCAAGCAAAGGACGGCCTGCCAAGGAAACATAGAAAGTAAGGATTTGGATACACTTGCCAATCACATGGGCATTGCTATTTGTCAATACGACCCATACTCCTAAAACAAAAACACCGAATCACATTTAAATACTAAAAGGTTATGATTATGCGATTACATTCTTTTTTTTAAAAAAAAAAAAAAAACCCTAAAATAGTCCCTCTCCACCAATTCACACACACACACACACATATATATATATATGTCAATTTTTAAGTTAAAAAATGAAAATGACTTTTTCTTTTTGTATTTTTTTTTTCATTTGTTGTTTGTGGTGATTAACAAATCTAAATTCTTATACAAAGTATAAGAATCCAATACAACAATTAAGCATCAGCATCAAACCTTTTCTCTAATTTTACAATTTGAAGGTATTTTTATACAAAAGTTAAAATCAAGAATTGGGAAAATATTTGCAAATTGACATTTTCTAATTTTGTTGTCTTAATTTACTATAATAATATTTTATAAATCTAGGAGTTCAACCCCTATATATATATATATATATATATATGGTGTTTTGGGTAACATCGATAAGGGATGACAATAAGTGGACATTCGATCAATTAATTTAATTTTTTACTCTATTTATTAGGATAATGCTCTATCCATACTCATTAAAAAAAAAAATCATCTTATAGATGTTTATCCTATTTATCCGCCAATTTACTACCTTTTAAAATATTTTGCCAAATATTTTATTTAGTCCTTATAATTTCAAATAAAAGTTATTTAATGCAATTGAATACATGGAGCTTATAAGTTTTGGAAACAAAAATATTTTTTAAAAAAGAAAAAACTTAAAATTTCCATATTTTATTTACTTTTTGATTACCAGCTTTACAATAATGATGTTACAACTACTTATGAATGAGGAACAAAGGAATTTTGGAAAGACTAATGATAGAAAAACCTTGTCTGGAAAGCAGAATAAGCAATCTTTGGTCTAAATAATAAAATGCATCATGTGTTGCAAAAATAAATTGTAGAAAAAGTAAGTAAAAGATGTAAAACATAAAAATAAACTATTGACAACATTCTAATTGCGAATAGTTGAGATAAAGACTAAGATAATTATATAATTGGTACTGAAATATGTAGAGTAGAATACGTATAGACATCCAAAAAATATGAATTATGTATTTCTTTTCAATTGCAAAAAATCTTAACAATAATTTCTCAAATCATAGAAGTCCTTGAGAATCTTTGATCTTCTCTCTTTATCTAGTGTTTGGTTCTTGAAAAAAAATCTTAAAAGGTATGTGTCTATTTTTCCTTTTTCACATAAATCTGAAAATCAATGATCACTAAACAAATCAGATCGTATAACTTGGGATGGAACTTGAGTCGGATCTTGAATTTAATTTATCGTAGTAATAAGTGTGTGAATTCAAGTTTTTCATCTTCTTGTGCACTTGTTACCCTCTTAAAATTACAATAGAGAAACTAATTTAACATTTAGGATTTTGATTAATTCAATTTAGCACTCAACATGTTTGTGTTTTTCCTAGAATGTATAAAGATTTATAGAAGTGCTATAAAATGTTGACAATAATTTCTCAAATCATAGAACTCTTGGAGAATGTTTGGTCTTCTCTCTTTATCCTATGTTTGGTTCTTGAAAAAAAAATCTTGGAAGGTATGTTTCTCTTTTTGCTTCTTCACATAAATCTTAAAAGTAATGATCACTAAACAAATCGGATACCATAACTTAGAGACAAAACTTGAGACGAGTCTTAAATTTAATGTGTTGTAGTAATAAGTATGTGAATTCAAGTATCTTCATCTCCTTGTGCCCTTGTTACCATCTTGAGATTACAACAAAGAAACTAATTTAATATTTAGTATTTTGATTAATTTAATTAAGCAATCAACATGTACATAAACTAATTTAATATTTAGGATTTTGATTAATTCAATTGAGCACTTAACATGTTTGTGTTTTTGTTAGAATGTATAAAGATTTATAGAATAGTCTGTAAAATGGTTATGCATAAAAATTTTCCTTAACAAGAAAGGTTTAGCTAGAGAAGACAAGCAAGATTGAATTCTTTTGCCTTTCTACTAATAGTTTTGTATATACATGGTAGCAATATCTCCAACTCCATCTCTTCAACTTCTAAATAGTTATTATTTCATGTGTTAATTATAATGGCTAAAAATCTTATTATACGGACGTTTGATTTTATTGTGTAGTAACCAAAAAAAAAAAAAAGGTCGCAACAAAAAAGGGAAGAACAAAAATGGGAGCAACATTGTCCAATAAGGATAAGAAGAGGGAAAAAGGGTAGCAACATGGTCTACGAGCAAAAAGAGAAAAAAGGGGGCAACAACATTGTCCAAGGATCAAAAAGGAGGAAAGGGGGAGAAGCATTATCAAGGCCAAAGAAGGGAGAAGGAGGCAGCAATATTGTCCAACAATCAAATAGTGGTCTAGAAAAGAGTAGCATTATCCAAGAAGAACAAACCATCACAAAGTATTCAAGACTTCGAGTGCACATGAATACATGGAGCTTATAAGTTCTATAAACAAAAATATTTTTTAAAAAGAAAAAAATTAACATTTGTTATGAAATAATGAATGTCCATTTCATATTCCCTATTATTCATATGATTTAATTCACCATTCAATATAAGAAATTGAAAGGGTGATGCAATTTATTCAATTCTTTATGTATCTTTTAATGGTTCATAATCTTTTTAAATTCTTTTCCTAACCTTGAAGCCTACAAATAGGCTTGATTGTTCATTAGTTTATGCATAAGTATTTTGTAGATATTGAGAGATTATTTAGAGTTGTTATCTCTTGTATGCACTTTATTGTATAGTGAATTCATTTTTCTATCATCTTTCTCTTCAATTATACTTGTTGTTACTATTTCTTTCATAACATGTCATCGACACGAAACTCTAACCAATCGAGATAATAGACCATGAGGTATGTATATACCAAAAAACTTAATTCTTTGTTTCAATCATTGGATTTTTTTTTTTTTTTTACACAAGTACTCTACCAAGAGATCTAAATTATTTAGATCATTAAAAGGTATGTATCTAATTTATCATGCACTCTAGATCTAATGATACATATAATATACATTTTAAAAACTTAAAGGATTTAATATATAGAATCTAATAATCTAATATATGTTGTTTGAAAATTTTAAATTCTATTATTATGTTTGTTTTTATTTAAATTTTATAATTATATTTTTTTATTTCTTAATATTATTATTATACTTTGCATTATATAATTTTTATGATATCAAACCTCACAAAACTTTATTTTATGGCCCTTGATATTTTGGATAAGAATTATTAATCATGAGTGTTTGATGCTCAATAAATATTCTCTACTTTTCATGTCTTGAATATGCTTAAGTAGTAGCACATCAAGAAATGAGTTTAAGAAATATTTTGAATTGATTTCATTTTTGCTCATGGCTAAATAAAATGACAAGCTATTGATGAAAAAGAATAAATCTCATCCAATTGGATCTACTCGATTCCTATAGTGAATGTGATAATTTATAATAATTTTAGGCATCGACGAAGATGTGGTTATAGCCATGGATATGGTCGGAATAACTATCATTATAATCATGATAATTATAATATTACATCTCACCATCGAAGTGGATAACTATGAAAAAAAGAGAAAAAAATAAAAATAGATAAAGTCGGTATCCCGAAAATGAATAATATATATATTGTATGAATGGACATTGGTCGTGTACACGTCGTACATCAAAACACCTCATTAAGTCCTGTCAAATCTCGTGGAAAAAGAAAAGAGTAAAATATAGAGATCAATTATATATATAAAATGGAGATAATTGAAATTAATAACTTGTTAGCTTTTCTATTTATAAATAAGATATTTTATATTTTCTTATAATTTTTATTGCATAGAGATAGCGATAAATTTATTTTACTATATATTTATTTATTTGTGGTTATGAAGAATTTATTTATTTATTTATTTTATGTTAATTTTATATATGATAATATCAATTTAACAAAAAGCTCTAGAATAGCGATTATATTATGATCTAAAGAGATAAATTTTTGAAGTTCTAGAAAAGTAAATATATTATTACTTAAATAGACAACTTTTAAAAGCTTTAGAAGAGTCGATATATTATTACTTGAAGTGACATAATTTAAAGGTTTTAAAAAATATGTTATTATATCAAATGATAAATTTTATTATAAATGATGTACTATTCTCTTCAAAATCTCATAGAAATTTGTTGAGTTTTAACGATATTCATCTAAATTGATATCATATTAAGATAGCAAATGTGAATACTTATATATTATAATCATTATATCGAGTAAAAAATATGTATTAAAAAATTTACTCGCTTTCTCTTCTAATCTTTATTACAAATATTAGAATGGTTGAAACAAATGCTATAATAAACTAGAAGTTTACTAATTTAAATACTTTTATTATGTGGCATGATCATTTGTGTTATCTTGGGTCTTTCATGATGCAAAAAATATGAAAAATTCATATGGACATCTATTAGAGAGTCACAAGATTCTTCAATTTAATGAATTTTCATGTTCTGTATATTTTCAAGGTAAATTGATTATTAAACCATCATCAAATAAAATTAAAATTGAATCTCCAATAGTTTTAAAATGTATTCAAGGTGATCATATATGTGAATAAATTCATCCACGATATGGATCATTTAGATATTTTATGATTTTAATAAATGTATCTACGAGATGGTCACATATATGCTTATTATCTACTCGAAACCCGACGTTTTTTAGATTGTTAGCAAATAATTTGATTTCGAGCATACTTTTCAGATTATGCCATTAAAATAAGTCACCTTGATTATACTGATAAATTTATTTCTCAAGCATTAAATTATTATTGATTGGCTATTAGAATAAAGATTTAACGAGTTTATTGTTTATGTTTATACTCGAAAGGTTTAATATAATTATTTATCAAAAGGTTTCAATCGATTGTTAAACCATTATATATATATATATATATATATATATATATATATATATATATATATATATGTTTAGGGACAAACAATCTTATATGCGGTAAAAATTATTCATATCAAACCCATAAATTGTTAGAAATTCTTCATTCTTTAATTGGTTTATGGTCATAAGCCAAATATTTCGTATTTAAGAATTTTTTTGGCATTGTAGTATATATCAAAACTCTTCTATAATGAACTAAAATGAGCACTTAAAAGAGACTAAAAATATATGTTGGATTTGAATCCTTTTTGATAAATAAATATCTTGAACGATGACTAAGAGATATTTTTACAGCTCAATTTATCGACTATCATTTTAAGGAAATAGTTTTTTCAATATTAGAGGGAGAGAATAAACAAAATAAGTAATTAGAAATGTTGGAAAAAGAAATTATAAGGAGTACTTTATCTTTATATCAACTTGGTAAAAAAAAATGTAAACTAGAAGTTCGGAAGATAATTCGTTTACAAAGTATTACAAATCAACTACTAGATGCATTTTCGGATCTTAAAAGAGTAACTAACATGCATGTCCCAGTGAGAATGCTTCTATTAGAATTTATGTCCTAAAAGGATAGTCTATTAATGTTATAGTTAATGAATCTAAAGCACGCCCGAAGCGTTGAAGACTGATCGGTTCTAAAAGCAAAAATCTCCAAACGAAAAGAAAAAATAATTAAAATAAAGGATGTAAATATTTATAAAATAGTCAAAGATATTTTTGATAATAGCTTATAGAAGAGTTCAAATGCTTTAGAAAAATTAAGAGACCTTGATAAATTATGTCAATACATAGAGAAAATAGAATAAAAAGAAACATTTAGTTATAAGATTTTCGTATATAATGTTTCAATTGATAGCTTGAATGAAAATAAGGATCTCAAGCCTATATTTATTGAAGAATGTCGACGTAAATATGATTGGCCTAAATGAAAAAAGCAATTTAAGCGAGAATTATGTTCTCTTACAAATGAATAGTTTTTTGAACTAATATTTAAAACTCCCGAAAATGTTAAGCTAATGGAATCCAAATATGTATTTATACGAAAATGAAATAAGAAATATGAGATTGTAGGATACAAAATAAGACTTTTAACACGAGTTTTTGCAAAGAATTGACATTGACTATTAGGAGACATATTCTCCTATAATGGATGTAATTATATTTTGTTATCTCATTAGCCTAGCAAAATATATGAAAAAAAATTCATATGCATACATTTAATAAATGTGATCATAGTTTATTTGTTCATTTGAAGTGATATCTATATGAAAGTCCTAGAATGACTTAAGATGTCCGAGGCATATAACACATATTCTCAAGAAATGAATTAAATTAAATTATAGAGATCTCTATCGAATTATTTTAGTATTAATTTTATTATTCTAGTTTTTAAAAATTTAATTTATGCTATACTTTTTATATTTATTTTTTATTTTTTAATATCTACTCTTTATTACTAACTTTGTGTGCATGTGGTATAATTATTTTAATAAATATTTATTCAAAAAAGGTTATAAAAATAACTATATTTATTCATGTATTTTTATAATAAAATTCGAACAGAGATTTATGGTAGTTGCTATATATATTGATGATTTAACTATTATTAGCACTCTTGAAGAGATTCCAAATGCCATAAGTTATCTAAAAGGAGAATTTGATATGAAATACCTTGAAAATTTTTTTTATCTCAACATGTAGTTTAAACACTTAAAGAACAAGATTTTTATTCATCGGTCAATTTATATATAAATGATTCTGCAATGATTCTATATGAAGATTATTCATTGACTAGCCCAATGGTAGTTCATTCACTTGATATCCAAAAAGACCATTTTTGACCTTGAGAAAATAACGAAAAACTACTTAGTTTCAAAGTATCATATCTTAGTGTCGTTGGTGCATTAATATATCTTGCTAATAATACTCAACTCGATATAGTCTTTTCTATAAATTTATTATCTAATCATAGTTCTACTCCAATATGGAGATTGGAATAACATTTCCTACATTATCTTCGAGGAAAAATTGATATCATATTTATTTTATTGAAATTAATCAAATTCAGATTTATTTGGTTATGTAGATATTGGTTATTTATCTAATCCATACAAAACTCGATCACAAATGGGTTATGTATTTACACTTGGTGATACGACTATATCACGATGTTTTATGAAGCAAACTATAGCTACTAGATATTCAAATCATGTAAAAATATCAATTCTCGAGGTAAGTCGAGAATGTGTTTGGCTAAGATCAACAA